CGGAAACTAGATGAAAACAGATGGGTTATATTTTTTTCTTTTGTTATTTCAAAATAGGAAAACCTTTATATAAGGTCGCAACTTTAAAATGTAGGATTAAAGGAGCACCTCAAAATGTTGTAATAAAAGGTTGTTTGGATGTTGGAAAACCTTATGATTTATCATCTAGATGTCGAGATGTAGTGTATCTTGCAATATATAATTTAGACCGTGCATTTTTAAGATTTTCATGTGTTTATAGATCTACTTGATTTGAACCATTTTTAGTGTTTAAATATTTTATATCGCAGTTATAATTATGATAAATTTTAGAGGTACTCCTTAGTTGGATTGTTTAAGGTTGCAACCTTATACAAACTACATCCTTCAAAATAACATAGTTCCTAAGCTTTATTTTGTAAAGAGATAAATATGTGAGTTTTAAGTCACACATTGAAAATGAGAGTGTGGAGTAAGTGGTATTTAAGTGTGTGGTCGTTCTCATCCTTTATGTTCTTAGAACAAAGTTAAAAGTAATAGTGTATTTGTGGTGTGCAACACGCACGCGCTCATGTGAGATGGTGCAAGGAGCTTTATAGTGTACTTTGCACTTTCCAACAATCACAATCCATTGAGGATTTAACGGCTTGTTAAAGATCATATACATCGAATTTAAGGGTGGTATATGTAACAATCGAATTTAAGGGCAGTGTATGTAACAAAACAGGTGATTATTGGTGAGATCACAACCGTTGAATTTAAGAGTGGTGTATGTGATTGTTGGTGGAAAATGTAACTTATCCCTCTCTCTCTCCACGTACTTCTCTCTTTCTCTCTTTAAAATACAACTCTCGTTATGTACACAATAGGCTTTGGTTCGAATGCATAGAACTTAAAAGTGCACAAGAACACCTTCTATTTTTTTGTATCCCGGTGTGTAGAACTTAGAAGTGCCCAAGAAACATTTTGTTTTTCTGTATCCCTGATCAATTGTCCTTTCTTGTTCACACATTTTATATTATCGAAGGTGAGCAAATATTGTTTTGTTATATTATCGAAGGTGAGCAAATATTGTCATTAGAAAACATTGTGTGTTTGAAAATAGTAAAGGAGTTCAACTAATTTGTTGTTATTTTTTGCCCCTTTTCACCCAAACAACTTTCCAGCAGCATCAAATCCTGGTGAATTATTAATGAAAGAGCTTATTTCAAACAAGAAATGAGTGAGGTGACCATTAAGCATGATGGAAATCCACAAAAATACAAACAATAGCAAAATTCAGAAACTAAATTTTCTATTGATCCTTTATTTGAAATCTCTAATATTTCTCTCTCTCTATTTTGTTAAAATCTTTAATATTTCTCTCTCTCTATTTTGTTACAAGAAGCTTGAAATGGTTGATTAAGTAATTATAGTTCATTAACTATTTTTGCTACATTTGAGAAGACAAATTTTGTTAACATTGGAACGTAGGAATATTCAAGCAATTACAAAGCCACACTAACGCTAGAGGGTGAATTCTTTGAGAAATACAAAGAGCAAGAGAGATGCAAGATTATGCGAAAAAGCCTAGGTAGTAAAATTAAAACAATATGATCCGTCACGTGACAAGATGGTGCTCTTACTTTTATAAAACTAACGCCTCAAAGAAAGGAAATGGTAGAGAGCAGAAGATAACTTTGGATGACGCGTCAAAGAAAGGTGGATGACGCCTCAAAGAAAGGAAATCGTGGAGATAGAAAGTGACGGTGAAGAGAAAGAGTATGTTGGAGTGAGAAGGAAGAGCGGAAAATTACAAATAACCCCAAAAAACAAGCCTTTCAAAACAACGTAACCTTTTTTTTTTTGGTAACTTTTACTACAAATTGAATTTTTTTAGCAAATATCCAGAAGTCAAAAAAGACAATTTTTAATGAAAATACCCATAGCATCGGACCGTCCTTATTTTGTGTCGGACCACATGATTTTCAGAATGCCAAAGTATTGGACCGCCCCCACTTTGTGCTGGACTACATGCTCAAAGTGCCGGCCTGCCCCTATTTTGTGCCGGAATACTCTTGTCCTTAGTTGGTTCATATTGAGGCCCCATCCATCTTTTTTTTTTTTTTAGGGAATACTTTGGTCTTTAGTTGGTTCATATTGAGGCATCATCCATCTCTTTTTTTTTTTTTGCTATTTATTCAGTATTCTGATTTTTTTTATTCCTTTGAAATGGTTGATTCAATATTGTTATTTTGAATGGACTTAATTATCTTGTTTGGTCGAAAATTGTTTCTTGTTATCTCTTTGAAAGTGATGTCTTTAATCTTTTCAACACATCACTTCCCAATCTATATCATAGACAAACTAGGTACATCTAGTTGTACTCAGAAAGCTATTGCAGATATTGATTAATGAGAAGGAAAAAGAGAGAATAAAACAGAATTATATAACTGGTTGACATTTATTTTGACAAATGAAAAGATAACATCATAGTATTGAATATGGTCGATAGGTGATTTTTTATCCCAGTTTGCAATCTTTTTTATTTTTGGCACGAGGCATTTTGTGAATCATCTTAGTTCAGGTGCTGATGGAAATGAGAGAGCTGAACAATTGCAAAATCAAAGAAATGTTCTTGTTGAAACCAACACTATGGATAAACACCATTTCTAACCTAATGATATGAGGAGATACCTCTTCTGCAACACCATCTATTGGATCCCTTCTAAACCAAGGATTACATCAATAATTGAGACCCCCCTTTCTCAAAACAATTTGGGACCTTGGCTTTGGAATCAGGAACTGCTCTTACAAGTCCCTGGAAGCAATTGTTTCCCTGATCTAGAATTCCTTCCCTGATCTCGATCCATATATTTCCTTGTAAACCTTCTAACTAGTTACAGAACGCTTATTGTGTACCCTGTAAGCCTTTCTCATGGACCCCAATTTTAAAGAAATTTTTCTTAGGACTCTTACCTAAGTCTTTGATGCATATGCCACTTGATTGGTTTAGTAACTTACCTTCTAATACTTTCGTGAGTTTATAGAGAAAACTGTGGATCAATTTCACTTCACTTCTTGTTAATCCTGCTGTGACTGAGAAATGGCTATTCTCTCTCATGGTAAATTGATCGGCTCTGAGGCCATGTTTGGTAACTAAGAAAATGCTGAGTCCTGTATTTCTACACTTTTCCCCAATTTTGGGGAGAAATGCAGTGCTTGCTGCTGATTTCTTAGGAATATAGAGGAAATGCAATACCCACCTCGTCTCCCTCTTAGTTCTCTAATGTCACAATCTCTCTCCGCCCTCAATCTCTTTCCCTAGGCTCTAGATTGAACTTTTTCCGGTTTTCACAAACATATTACTAAACAAGTGTTCTTAGCTTCCCGCCAAAGTTTTCTACTTCTATCTTTTTCTCAAACTTCTAATTTCTCAGAGATCCTCTACGGAAGCAGCTTTCTCAATTACCAAACTGGGCCTTAATATTGATAGATTCGGAGCAATGTATTTGAAGACTTCCCTACCTTGGCAGGTAGTAGTCAGGACATATAGTGGAAACTTGAAGAGGGAGGTTACTGCGATTAGCCTGTGGGAGCCCATTGCCTAGCCCCAAATTCATCAAACCATAATCATGGAAAGAAATAATCCAAGGGGGAAGGCCATGCACAAGATCCCTTGAACCAAACTTGTAGATTACATTTCTACAACCAAACTTCTATGTGTATAATCTATGGTCTCAAAATTAAGCCTAGTGAAGCCTAGTGAGTAAATCATTGTTGAGTGACTAGAGTTGCTGAATATAGCGACTGGCCCCTTGTGGTGTCAATATTTGTAATCTGGGTCTAGGGATCTAGATATTCGTGGTCTTGAATTTCTTGACGACCAGTAACTCTGGCAGCACCTGGATTAGTTTGAATTTATTTTTAAAAAAAGCACCTGGATTAGTTTAAATGCAGTTGTGAATGGCCCTCCCCCGATTTGCAACAGCGCCCATGTATGCTCAAATATCTGAATTCATTTTATAAAATTTCCCCCAGTTTTTTGGATTCTTTACCGTTCATTTGTTTTCAATTTCAATGCACCATCAAAGTGTTGCACTTTTTTGCAGCTATGAGCAGGATTTTAAAAAAAAAATTGAATTGAGGACAGACATTCAACACAGATGTAAGCCAGTTGCCCTACAATCACCGAAACCGATGTCTTGTGCCCTTATAAGGATTTAATGGCTGCAAGTTGGGATGAGCTCCCCGATACTGTAGTTCATGATGCCTCGAATGGACTCTCAAAATCCACTAATGGTTTTGAGCTGATGAGACTATCAAGCAGTTAGGTGGAGTCCCTTATCTCCGAGAATGGAACCTTGACAATTGAAACTGGATTGACTGGCGAGGTACATTCATACTTGATTATTTCCAGGATTTATGCTAATGAATTTTGTTTCCGTGGTGTTGGCAGAAGAACCTAATCTGAACAATATGGTTTACTTTTTTCCCAGTAATGTTACTTGACTAAAAGAAAATGAAGTAGAACTACTAAGCAGCCTCCTATTGTCAATAAGCTGGACCAAGCCAGTTCAGACTGATCACTACCCCAAGCCAATCTGTTGTAGATTTTCTAACCTAAAAGAGGAAAGAAATCATCCCATTTCTTTAGATGTGCTGGACATGTTAGTTGACTATCATTTGATCTGGTTCATTAAAATAAAAATGAACGATGAAAAGTGCTTGATGTTCTAGGGCTGAGAGGAGTCCGCTGATTTTAGTTAAAACCCATTGATGCTAGCCAAATTCGACCGGCAGGATTAGCATTCAAAGTTCGTTGATATATCAATATGAACAGGAATATTTGGATTGTACCTATTGAAACGAGTCAGTTCCTATTGTTCAGCATGAGCCAACAAATATCGATGTCTGAACAAAAATGGATTGGGGCCTGTCCAAACTGGACGGCCAGAGAGATTATGCTGGAGAGGGCCATATCCAGCTAAGTTTTCAATATGGAATCAATAAAATAAAATTTATTTAAGATCTTATACAAATTGACAATGAATCCTTCATCAACCATTTGATTATGTTACAAATACTGCCCATTAGATCCATTTTCACCTAAGTTACATCTGTATAAATAATTTATATCGTACAAAAAACTACTCTTAAAAGACCAAGAGTGATACAGTCTCACTTTAGTAACACCATATGCAGAAAATAAATACATGGAGGTGAGTATGTACTCTTGAGGATGAATGATAAGTGCAGGCCTCTCCATCTTTCATGCTCTCTCTCTCTCTCTCTGATCAATCACCAATAATCCCTGCATGAACAGACCCCATCTCTGAAATGGTGAAACCGATTCACATCTCTCACAAGAATCTCCCTGTTCGTAAACATGGAAACAAACTTGGTCACAGAGTGGCAATCCTCACAAAGCCTCAGATTCTTTGTAATCCTTAATGTTTGCCCTGACTCAGTGTTAATCAATCCAAAGGCCAAAGCCAACTTCTCACTATGACCCAAAACAATCCTTTCCTTCTCTTCGTTATCTAACTCATAGAGCACCGCACTTGTATTAGGCACATAACCAGACTGCTTCATCTCAGTTGAGATTTTTGTCAACAATGCATGAACCTGTTCGATTTGTGGGTTTAGTTCATCAGCCGAGACGAAGGAATAAACACTTCTTCTAACTTCAATCCAGCTACAACCCGTTCTCTTACACAAATCTTCATTCTCTAACATCTTTTTAACAGAATCCAGCTCATCCCACATTTCCAATGATGCATATATATCAGCTAAGAGTACGTAGTTTCCTGCTTTTTTCGGTTCGAGCTTGAACAAATGGTGAGCTGCTCTCTCTCCAAGGCTTGCATTTTTGTGGGTTCGACAAGCTCCAAGCAAAGCACCCCAAACAGTGGGTCCGGGCTCGAAGAGCATCGTCTCAATGAGCCTCGAGGCCTCATCTAATAGCCCAGCACGACCCAAGAGATCGACCATGCAGGCATAATGCTCCATACTCCTTAAAACTGAGTAATCGTGCTCCATGCTCTCAAAGTAGGCCTTTCCCTCTTTGATTAGCGCCGAGTGGCTACATGCTCCCAAGAGTGCCACAAAAGTGATACTATTTGGGGTTATTCGTGACTGTATCATCTCTCTGAACATCAAAATTGATTCATGTCCAAGTCCATGTAGGCCATAAGCTGAGATCATTGCATTCCATGAGACCACATTTCTATGATGCATTCTATCGAAGACTAAGCGAGCTGATTCTAGCAGACCAACTTTTGCATACATAGATATGAGAGAGTTATTTGTCGAAGTGATTGAGACAAGCTGTCTTCTTAATACATAGGCATGGATCGATTTTCCTGTTTGTGGGGCTGAGAGAGCACCACAAGCCTGAAGCACACTCAACATTGTGACTGCGTTTGGCTGACCGTCGGTCTCCAAGACCATGATTCTGAGCATCTTTAGTGCCTCCTCTGCCTGCCCCTCGCAAACATACATTGCCATGACTGCACTCCATGTTACCACCGTCCGCACTGGCATTCCCTCAAACACTCGCAGTGCATAGTCCACAAGCCCCAGCCTTGCATACACATCGAGAAGAGTGGTGGCGACATAGAAATTGAGGTCAAATCCCCGACGCACAACACATGCGTGGAACTCTCGCACATGGTAGCGCGTCGAGCAAGCCTTAATTGCATAAGGATACGTGAATTGGTCGATGGGAAGGCCATTGTCGAGCATTTGGTGGAAGAGAGAGAGAGCATTTTCATGTGTTTCAGGAGAGAGAGATAAGCATCGAAGCATCGCGTTCCACAGAAAGAGCGTTCTGGAGGAGAGCGAAAAGGAGGAGAAGACAAGGCTTGCGAGGTCCGGGCGGTGGCAATCTGCATACATGTGTATGAGATTGGTGGCGAGGAAGGGATCATGCTCGAAGCCATGGGAGGAGAGATGGTCGTGCACGGTGAGGCCGTGGTGCAGGGAGCGGCGCTTGGCGCAGGCCTGGATGAGGTGGTGGTAAGCGCGTTGGGATAGTGGAGTGTGGGTTTTGGAGAGAAGGCGGAGGGCTTGGGGGAGGTTGTCCTCCTTTATTACGGTTTCGATTTGGAGTGTGGGATCATGTGTAGTGGTGGAGGTGGTGTGGGCAGTAGTGGCGGAGGCGGAGGCGGAGGCGGAGGCAGGGACAGCACGGGGATGGGAGGGTGGAAAGCGCAGGGATGGTGGACTGAAGGTCCACATGGCTGCTTGGATTTCGGTGAATTTCACGCAATTTTGTATACAAACATGACTATACCATACTATTGAGATTTCCTACTAATGAAATATTTGTACAAGTAACCCAAGTCTCTTCCTAAATTAGTTTAAAAAGAATAGTGATTTATTTATATAAGGATGCAACCTTATAACGTAGAACTACAAATGCACCTCAAAAATTCATCGAAAAATGTAGTTTTAATGTTGAAAAACCCTTTCACTGATCATCTCAACATCGAGATGTATGACCATGAAAAATAAAAAGATTTTAAGTCTAAAAAATAGTGCATTTACAATATATTATCTACACCGTCCATTTTCAAGATTTTCATATATTTATAGATCTACTTGATTTTAACCATTTTTGAAATTTAAAATCTTATAATTAGGTATAAAAATAAATTTTGAGATAATCCTAAGAACATTGCACATTAAAATTATATACCATGATAAAATGTGAAGGTGCACGTTACCTCAACAACTGCGGCTGCATCCGTATGCCAACTGCACCCTTACATAAAAGGGTCGTGACCCGATGCTGGCCCAGCCTAAGCAGGTCTTGGAAAGGGTGGCTGGAAAAAGTCCTAACCTTTGGTTTTGGACAAAGTGGCCGCTCTCAAGACTCGAACTCGCACTCTTGTGCTGACCACCCGAGCCTTTTATCGATGCACCAAGTGACGGCCCCTCAGAAGAGTGATTTACATATGGACCCTAAAAATTTTTAAAAATACAAATTGATATGTTTGAAGGCAAAAATTACAAAGAAAGTCAGTCAACCTTTTTTATTTTATTTTTTTCAAAATTTCCTCTCGATCTGAGGATCTTCGAAAAGAATTTTAATTTTTTATTAATTTTAATTTTAATTTTAGTTTCCTTACTAATGAAAAACTAAAAATAATAATTGAATCCTCATATTGAGATGCAATTTTGAAAAAAATAATAAAAATGTGGGAGAGAATTTTGAAAACAAAAAATAGCATCCCAGTGTTCACTCCACTAGAACATGAAAGCAAGATAATCATTTTATAGAAGATGGGCAGTTGAATTCTTGAACACACCTCAGTAAATACAGTGATAACATTGTAATTATTACCCACATCCTTACAATGTAATTATTAACTCTGGATAATTCTTTACTTGTCCATATTTGTTTCGCATGCGTGAAAATACTACTTTCACATAAGCTTCGCTTTATGTGATTAGATGTAAGAGTTTTTTTCACACCAACTGGTCTTGAGACATTTTTTTCTTTTCACCTCAATTGATGTAAAAAACTCTAGCACCTAATCATTTAAAAGAGTTTTTCATGTGAAAATATTTTTTCATGCATGCCAAACATGAAGGGAAAAAATGGATTTATTCATAGAACTTGCTAAATATTCAAAGGTTTAGTTTGGTTGCACATGAAAATATTTTTGTGAATGTTTTTCACTTGAAAGAACTCCCCTATATGATTAGATGAGTAAGTTTTTTTCACACTTACTGGTTCCAACGCATTTTTTCATATCAATTGCCGATCAATTGGTGTAGAAAAACTCCTACACATAATCACATAGGGATTTTTTTTAAAAAAAAAAAACTTCCACACTGATTTTCACTCGTGAGAAACGTTTCATGAAGGTGAGAGATTTTACTCGTTGAAACGTGTCAATATAGGCAAAGAGGCTTAAAGGGCTCTCTCTCTCTCTCTCTCTCTCTCTCAAGTGTGAAGCTCCCATCGGAACATTATTATATAACATTTATCACAGATTATGCAGGCCCATATAATGTCAAGGATTGTTGCAACTTAATTATGTTCTGGTACTTAAAACCCCGAAAATTCAGGCAAATGACGATTTGTGTATGTGAGAACGAAATGTCTTTGCTCATCCCATATTTAAGAAACACGATCAAATTAAAATATTTGGGATTGTATACAATGAGAACATTTACTTTTGGAATAAAAAAGTCACAATTACTTACAACCATCTGATGTGAAATCTGATAGCTTGGATGTGTCATAAAGTTCAAGAAAAATGTTTTTGAACTTTGAGCTTGATCAATGAAATAAATGCAGCCATCCAATTTCACATTCAACGGTCAAGATTTATTGCGACTATATTGTACCAAAGGTAAATAGTCTCATTATATACTTTTCCAAAATATTTACTTAACTAAAAAAAAAAAATTCATCTTTAGATTTTAAGGTTTTGGTTGATCAGAGTAGATATTTTCTTTTTTTGTTTTGGGTAGTTCATTTGTAGGATTTGAACTCAGAATCTGCCGTTGTAATTTTCAACACCTTAACCAATCAAACACTAATTTATATTTTCTCCTCATAAAACATATTCTCTCCTATACTAAGTGAAACTCATCTCTACATTGTTTTCTCAACCTTTCCAAAGGGATTCAAACATGTCCTAAGAACTACTAAAAAAGCAATATACATCCATATCAATGATTTTTTTTTATTATCATCCGAAGCATTCACACCTTTGATATGATTTTTTTTTATTATCATCCGAAGCATTCACACCTCTTACTTCCAGTATGTTTCCTCAATGAGCGACGGATTTAATATCACAATCTTCGTCGGGCCATTATCGACCGTCGATCCAACCATCGTCGATACAATAGACTTCACACTTTCATGGACTGACATGAGTATAAATCAGAAGGCAGCCTTGGGGTGGCCACAGCCACCAGTGGAGTGGTCATGAAGGCCACTAGGCCCGGGTCCTCGGACATATCGATGCTCGAGGCATCTATTGTGGTCCATCTGAAACCATGTAACATCCTGCCTAGCATCAATTGAAGAAGGTAAGTCCCCAATGTGGCTCCAGGGCAAATTCTCCTACCAGATCCGAATGGCAGGAGCCTAAAGTCCTGGCCTTTCATGTCGACATCATCTTCTAGGAACCTCTCAGGACGAAATACTGTAGGGTCCTTCCAGGTATCCGGATGCCTAGCGATCGCCCAGGCGTTCACGTGCACGTTGGAACCCTTAGGCACGTCATAGCCGCCGAGCTTGATGTGCTTTGAGGCTCTGTGTGGGAGCATTAGGGGGGTGGGGGGATGGAGACGTAAGGACTCCTTGGCAATGCACCTCAGATATGGGAGCTGCGAGAAGTCAGACTCTGTCATTGCGCGCTTGTCTCCGATGACTCTATCGAGCTCCTCTTGCGCTTTGGCTTGTACTTGAGGGTTCCGAATGAGCTCTGCCATGCCCCACTCACATGTTATGGCTATTGTGTCCATGCCGGCCTGGATCATGTCCTGGGATTCAAATTCGTTTAAACAAGTTAACCAAACGAAAAGAAGATTTCCAAAAATGAGTAAAGAAGGAACTGGTGAAGAGTGCGGTACCCAAAGTAGGCCTGTGACTGTATCGTCGCTAAGATCGTATTCATCACGCAACGAGAGAAGTGCACCCACAAAGTGCTGTTGCTCGCTACCAGACTCGAGACGTGCCTTTGTGTGCTCTTCCATGATGGTGCGTGTGAGTCGGTCACGACGGTCCCAATGTTTATCAAAGGCCTCTACCTCTAATGGGAATAGGGATTGCAGCCATGGCAGGTGCTCAGCTATGGACAACGATGCACTAAGCTCATTGCCTGTGGCCACAATGTCCTTAAACTCCTTCCCTTGCTCCTCCATCTCTCCCTTGGAGTTAATGAATCGCTTCCCAAACACTAGCCTAGTGATGTGGTTGAAGGTCACAACTGAGAGATACGTCCTCAACACCAACCTTTCTTCAGATTTTCCTATAAGAACAAAAAAAAGAGGATATTAGTGACTGATTTAAGCGAAAAATGATCGCAATATGTTGAATGTTTATGCAATCATTCTTATTCGAAAGGCAAGAAGAGCAGGGTATGCAGTGCTATGTAAGGGTGGCAACTTCGCCCGGCCGGGCCCTAACCCTAATCGTTGGGCCAAAAATAAACGAAAAAAAATAAAAGAAAAACAAGAAAGAAAAGAGAACCAGGCCGGTCTAGAATGGCCCTTGCCCTGCCATTGGGCCACAGGCCCAAGCCCTACTTTTCTAAGGCCTTGTGAGCCAACCAGCCCATTGCCAAGCCCTACTTTTTTAAGGACCGTGGGGTTGCCAATTGGGGTAGATCAACTCCATTCAGGTCTATGTTCAAGTCCAACTTTTGCAAGTCGGGGGGTTGAGAATCGTTATGGTCCACATCCAGCACAGATTTAATCGGGTTAGCTCACGCCTTAACTCGCCCCTACCCTACTATATATAAACATTTATTATACATTACAAAAAAATATGTATTACTTTATTTTATAACATCTATTTTATATTACAAAAAAATATGTAATACTTTATTTTATAATTTTATTATTTTTAATATTTTAACTTGGTCCTTATCCGATGTATTGGGGTGGGTCCGGGTCATGCATCGAGTGGGGTCCAAGTGTAGGATAGACCCTTGGACCACTAAACAAGGGATGCAGTGGGGGATCATGAGGACCCATTCCACATGCCCAATTGATTCGATGATCTATCTCATATTTTTTTGTGCCTTATGGATATATATTTCATAATATTCTTTTGCTTGAAAATTCGAGTAGCTCATTTCCATTTTGCCCCTTTGAGTGTCTAACTAAACACATATAGCGCAGTTGTGGATTTGCCATTTAATAGAGAGTAGATTGTGTTCCCAGACGAGTACATTATACTTTTGTTCCCTTGGCCAAAAGACCACCTAGGTCCAAAAAATTTCGGATCCAGAATCACATAAGTGTAATTTTAGAGAAAGAAGATAAATAAGGGGTTGGACTTTTAATACACCTATATCGGACTATCCAACAATTAGAAAATTTATGTTCAGTTATGAGGTTGATATTTCTAGGTAGAGTAGGTCACATCCACAAAATGTGGGGTCCTAAATGTAGGGTTGGCAACTCTCAAGGCTGCGTGGCCTTAGTCCGGTCCATTCCAATCCAGCCAAAGAGGCCACGGCCTAGGCCCGCTCCTAACCCTATTTATGCGGGCTAGGCCATATAGAGTCAAAAAATAAATAAATAAATAAAATAAAATAAAATAAAGAAAGAAGGCTGCACCAGGCCGAACAGGGCCTGCCCGCCTATTATAACGGATGGCTCATGTCGGATCCAGCTCTTACCCTCAGGTTGTGATTGCTCGACGCTAGCCCAGCTCTTGAGCCACATTTTTGCAGCCTAAGCCCTAATTTTGATAGAAAGGGCTAGGCACCCAATCTATTGCCACCCTCCATGCTGGGGTTTTTCTCCAGGGAGCAAATATACATTTTATTCCCTAGAGAACATGTAATCTTTGAATTTACTACTTTGGCTTGGTTGAAGACTGCAAAAACGGGTCAAGGAGGGCAGTTGTCATTGTCTATTCGGGGCCATACACGAGTCCTAGGGCCATGGCTAGGTAACGTAGCCAGGACTGGGCCCGTTTGGACATGTGTCGGCATGATGGAACCGTAAAAATCCGGCCTAGTGCTCGGCCCCGGCCCCGCCCTCCTGCCAAAGTCCGTGGCGGAGAGCCACTTTTTCCGGGCAGGTTGGACGGGCCCATTGCCAACCGCAAAAAGAAGATTATCTACCTCTTTCTATACATAAGGCGCCAGCAAATCTCTCTCTCATTCGATGTATAGGGAAATAAAAACAAGCACGATTTCCTCACTAGAGCTTTATCAATAAATAAATAATTCCTCACTAAAGCAAGCTTATCATAATTGAATATTAATAGTAAATACAGTTTAATGACATACTAAAAAGCAGGTAGTGGCTGAATTGTGCACAATAACTCTATTTTTAACTATTTAACTTTTTTCTTTTTTCACAAATTTATCACCGGGAAAATTCGCAAAGCTGAGTGGCACTGCCGCGACAATTTCGCACTGGTAGCACCTCATGAGCTTCAGCTAACCGTCTGACCTTCCATTCTCACTTATGCATTCGCAAACCACTGATTATTTCTAAAACAGCAGGGGCCTGTAATCCCCACTGATCTACCCAAAAAAAAAAAAATGTACACCCCTAATAACTCATTTACACACATGTATGAGCATATTTGAATCGACAAAAATTTTGGCTCAGCTCATGCCATATCGATGGAAATCAATCAGGAAAATGAAGAAACAAAGCCTTATATATTGCTTAATTCAGTGACAATAATTGAACCGTTTCAATCAAGAGACTCTCTCTCTTGATGGAGATGACCATTATTGTTGCTATTTCACTGATTTTGATCTGTTAATCATTAACAACTTACTAATCCCTGGACTGATATTGGTAAAAGGAGATAGAGTGTGTACTAATCCCTGGACTGATATTGGTAAAAGGAGAGAGAGAGAGAGAGAGAGAGAGAGAGAGAGAGAGAGAGCACATACCTTTGCAATCCGTATACAAGGACTCCACCATGGCCGAGACCTCCTCCTCCCTTATGGCCCTAAGTGCCTCAAGCCTCTTAACTGAGAACAACTCTAGAGTGCAAAGCTTCCTAACCTTGACATAGTGAGGACCATAATCAGCCCAGATAAGGTCAGTTCCCTCTCTACTGAACTTTGCAGCAGACCTTGTTCTATGTCTATTAGCTAGATGCTGGTCCTGCTCTTTGAGCACCTCTCTGGCCAATTCAGGGCTCGATACAATAACATTGAGGCTTCCTCCAATCCAAACAGACATAATGGGTCCATAGCGCTCAGCCCACTTTGCAAAACACCTGAACCTAACAGGCTCTATTTCATGTAAGTTGCCAAACAATGGCCATGGCCTTGGACCTGGAGGAAGCTTGAATCTTTTGCTATACAAGAGCTTCACTGATATGATTAAGGCTAGGAGAGAGAAAGCAAGTAGGAAGAGAGACTCCATTGTAGGGGTTGGCCCCAAGGAGGGTGGGTAAGGGTGGGTACTTATATAGGCATTAGAGAGAGAGAGAGGGGGTGTTGGAGATGAGGTTTCTCTCTCTATTACTCGAAGGAGATAGAAAGGGTGGATATTGGGGTTTCTCTCTCTATAACTTAGAGAGAGAGGGGGTGGAGATTGGGGTTTCTCTCTCTATCACTTAGAGAGAGAGAGAGGGTTTCTCTCTCTAGTTTTCTCTCTCTATTTAATGTTATTCCACAGAAAATGGCGTACAAGTCAATACCAAAGACAAATGAGGAAGAAATGGCACACAAGTCAATAGTACCAAAGAAAAAAGGGTCATATTACATATCACCATGCGTGATATATGCCACCCAACGACAATGTCAGGTTTTGTCCGTGAGATAGCGTGTACGAACGGTTGTGATTTGATGGAGGGATAGTTTTTGAGATATTCGTAGCCGTAAAGTTGGTTGGTTGTTTAATGGGGTAAATCATAATGAAAAAGTTTATATCAAGCCCTAAACAATCCAATTAAAGCGCATTTCAAAAATTCACTAAAAAAAATTGTTTTGATATTAAAAAATTTATAAATAAATTATCTTGATCTTTATAAACAAAGAAGAAAAATAGATTTCAAGTTTTAAAAATAATACATCTTGTAATGCATTTTTAGGCCATCAATTTTTATAAGTTTATAAATAAAAAAAGCTTTAGATATGCCCAATCAATATAGTTTCGGTAAGGCCTTGGCCTTATGAAAAAATAGAGTGAAGCCTCACTATAAAACGCATTCAAACAACACTTTTGGGCATGGGAAAAGTCAAGATGGCTCTAGAATCAATTTGCACCACCAATTATGATTATTTTAGCTAAAAAAGTAGTAAAGGGCTAGTAGATTAGTAAATACTTGAAAATAGATAGAGTGTAGATAATGTGTTATAATATACATTATTTTTAAAATTTTAAAAATTTTAATTTTTTTAAAACTATAATAAACAAAATACATACGATCGATTTGTAGGTTTTCCAATGCTAAAACTGCAATTTTAAATGAATTTTGAGGTGTGTTTTACTTATTTTGACAGGGATGCAGCCTTATCAAAACATTTTATAAAATATTCTAATGTTCTTGAGTCGGTGGCGGTTGTTGAGACACGGAATTACGCTAGTTTTAGATCGCAAATCTGATTTAAAAATCCAGAGAGATTATGTGCGTCGGCATATGAGAGAAGTAAACACCTTTTTATAGAAAGGTTTATAAAGCGAGGTATAATATCATAAGGAAAATAAAAGGCTTTTGTTTTTCTTTGTTCGCAGAAGTTTGAAACTTTAGTGTTGTAAGTGGTTTTATTACAGGTCTGTGCCATCCGTCTCTCGTGTTTCTCTCTTAGGAATTATTCTCCCCCCATAAAAAAGACACTTCACCATTTGCCTCTCTAAATGATTTAGACATCACTCATAGTTTTAAGTCTGAAATTTATTTTCAAGTAAAAAATAAAAAAATACGAGACTTTTACGCTTTCATATTTTTCACCACGACACGACATTCGTTAAAAATATTAAAAAGTATACACACCATCAAGGGTTGTACTTTTAGTGAGACTATTAAGTCTCTATATCTCCCCTCACTACTTTCATTCATATTAGAGGTAACAATGGACCTGGACCCGACTCGGGACCCAAGTTGTAGACCCGATTTGGGTCTGGATATGGGATTAGAAATTGGACTCGACAGGTTGGATCCAAGTCCAAATCTTGGATCTGAACATTATTTGGGTCTAAATCTAATTGGATCCAGGTTCAGGTTTGCGTTCACTAATATTTTTGGGTCTCAATAAATGAAATATATTTAAATATAATTAACTATATAGACATTTCAATTCTTTAATAGAGTCCTATTAGGTCTGGGTTCGGGTCCCACACTATATTTTCGGTTATGAGTTCAGGTCTAGTAGGGTTTGTGTCGCATGTCATTCTTTCGGGTGTTGTTCGGGTCCGGGTTCGGGTCCAAGTCCAAGTCCGGCCCGTTGCCACCCCTAATCCATGACCTTTTACGTCTTCCCTCTGCCTATTTAGATCTTTCCATTTGAATTAAATCGCACCTCCTAACCAAGTATTGTTCTAGGTTGGGTTGTACGTGGCTAAGCCGCTTAAGTCTACTTTCCCTTATCTTATCACTTTCTGGAGTATTTATTTTGAATTTTTTCATTTCTTGTCTTGCCACTTCAGCAACAATCATTATATGGATAAAATAATCAACATACCCTTATAATTTTCAAACATTTAGAGGTGTTTCGATCATTTCCTTTATTTTAAAATAAATTTTGTTACTTTTTTACAAATACAAAATTGTGAGAAGTACCAATTCTCCAAATTTGGATCATTTCCTTTATTTTAAAATAAATTTTGTTACTTTTTTACAAATACAAAATTGTGAGAAGTACCAATTCTCCAAATTTGAGATCGATATAATAAATAAAAGAAAAGTAGGGTTGTGAATGGGCCACACAGGGCCCGTGTCAACATGGACCCGAACCCAAACCGCCTAGATTTAGGTTAAACTAAGACCTAGGTCTTGGTCCAATAATACAAAAGCGCAAAAAATTATGCCATATATTTTATAATACATTGCTGTATATCTATAAATACCTTGCACATATAAATATTTGGTTTGTGTTGATCGACCCAGATCCGACTGACTGACAAGGTCCAAATTTGACCTAGACCTAAACCTAATCTTAATCTTGGCCAGGTTAGCCTATTGGGTTCACAGATTGACCTAACCATTTATCACCCCTATATAAGCAAAAATAAAATTAAAATGCACTCTAAAAAAGTGAGATTTAAGTGTAAAATAAAAATATAATACGCTAATTTTTATTTTTAGTAACAAAATGAGACTTTTCATGAATTTCCCTTTCTAATTCTCCCGATTCCACTTAGGCAATTCATGAATTGGAAAATAAACAAAAGACCACGAGGGTGAAACAGTTATGGGCCGCTCCCGTTTCGAATAGAAATTGGCACTTTTTCAAATCTTCATCGGCTCTCGCACTTCCAAATTAGATAGGCAATTTTTAATTCCCAAGCCTCAATTCTTACATGCCATTGAAGAAGGTATTCATCTAGCTATTAAGTGGAATTGTTTTTCTTTTCAAGTTAGAAAGCGTTTCATTATTACTTGTGCAAGTTCTTCATGATCTCCGTCAAGCACCATGGAGGTTACATACAGTTGTAGCTAACTATCGAAACAGGCTTTCTACTCGTATGTAGTAAATCTCACTTAAGCCAACATGGTAGATGATGCTCTTGCACCATGAAGGTTGCATATGCAGCTAACTATCGAAGCAGGCTTTCTACTCGTATGTAATCAATCTCACTTAAGCTAACAGGATAGATGATGCTCTTGCAAAAAAAGCATATATTAGTTTTGAAGCTATTATTTGGCACTTTTGACTGCCAGATTTTATTTACATGTCTTTACTTCATGATTTGGGGCAACTTCCCCATTTTACCGTTGTAAAGTAGTGAGTTGTCTACTCTTTTTATTATTTCTTAATGAAACAGGTAGGTGCCTTTTTTTCCCCAATGACTTCCCAAAAAAAAATCTCAATTCTCGCACACACAACATAGCAAATCGTTTTTTAGCGTGTATCTTGTGATCCCTTGGGGGCATATTGTGTGCGTATGCCCTTGCTTGAAAGAGCTATTTAGGAATATTTTTTTGGTCTAGAATTTTGAGAACCTTATGAGAATCACCTTCAAAATAAAAAACTGAATTTTGAGTCTCGCAACACAGGACAGTCTATATTAAATTTTGATGCATTACTTTTTCTAGTACACATAGAGTTTATTTTTAGAATCATTTTTAGCTGATGTTAGTCTATAAATTTGATATGTAAAAGTATCCCTAGCACATATTTTATCCGAGAGAATAAATAGATAGTATACTCCCACGAGAGTAGAAAATCTTTGGGCTCTTTTTTTTTTTCTCTCTCTAGAACATGCATTCACATCAAAACATCATCAACAAAACAAATCACGGCAAAACAATCAAGTATACTGTAACTCGCACGAAATAGCTCTTTCTATTTTTTTTTGCTTTGGACTAAACCTTTTTGCTATTTAGTGGTTGTTATGATAATCTCAAGAGTTTTTTATACCAAATTATATGATAAAATTTGGAAGTGCGTCCATTGTTTAAGGTTGCAACCTAATAGAAAACTTTCCTTTTGACAAATGGCGTTTTGAAAAGCTGGCCCCAATTAATTAAAAAAAAAATTAATAATTATGATGATGTATTTTGATAAAATTTCAAAGAAGAAATAAAAAAAAGACCCACTTTAACTTGAGTGACATAAATAACTCGTCATCTTCCTATTGACCAGTTGGGTCATTGCATTAGTTGATGAGGTCAGTGCGTCATATAAGATGCAAGGAGATTAAAAATAAGATAGGGTGAACTGGACAAATATGACATGTTTAACAACGACTGCATTACGAAAAACCCTCCATTATTCACCTACCCCAATGTTTATTAGTTTTTTGTTGTAGGCAATCCGTTTACTACTTGTGATATACTCATCATTAAGGTGACAACGAGGGTGGCCGGGCCGGCCAGCTTTTGACCCATAGGTCTAGACCAGACCGCGGCAGGCCAAATGCCAATGAAAAAAAAAAAAAGAAAGAAAGAAGCCAGAGCTAATCGAACTGTACTGAGCTACCAGCATTGGCCTTAGCCCAGCCCTCGGGCCACAATCCGTCCCCGGTGATGGCCAAAGTGTCCGGCCCACTAAAACATAATATGATGACCCGGTGTGGGTCCCATCTCCTCCAACATCATACACCCCTTGGTTGAACGTTAGGATACCCATGACTTGGTCATTGTATAATTTATCGTTGGAAAATATAGTAGTCAATGATTGTGGTTTGCAAATTCCGTCATCTTGAGGCAGAGATGCAAGAAATGATGTATAAAGGTTGGGGTAAAGATGGAAGAGATGTATTACGGTAGGTGGAGAAGGTCTTGGTGCAAA